TATTTTGTTCTTTATCATTTTCTATCAGATGGTTTAATAATTGTTGACGTATTTTTAATTTATTATTATGGAAACTATTTATTAATAAATAAATATTAAGCAATATTGAAATTACTAATAAATTTTCTTTTTTTGTAATACATCTGCAGTACACATTAGGTATTCACTCGATTTTTCGTGTAGTATTTAGAGGAATTTATGGAAGTGTAATACGGTAGTAAAATGTTTTTAGGGAAGTTTACTATTAGGGGAATTTACTATTTCATCTTTTAGGGGAGTTTAAATTTGCCCTATTTTCACTGGGGTACGAAACTTATTTATTCAGTTTAGTTTATGAATAATTTTGTGCAACGCACAATACACACGTTTCCGTGGGCAAAGCAAAAATGTATATAGTATAATATATATTATACAATAATTAACTTCTACTTTGGGTATTTCCAGGATTAATTGATATCTTCCGTACGTATATTTTATATTACTTTGTCGTTTGTAGTTTTATAACTTTGATCTACATGACTGTATAATACATTTTTTATCAGGATTACAAATATTTAGCCCTACATGTATAGTTTAGACCAGTGTTTCTCAACCTGGGCGTAGCGACCCCCTTAGAGGTCGCCAACTTATTAATTAGGGTCGCTAACGTATGATTTAAAATTTAAATACAAAAATTTTAAAGTTCAAACAATAAATTAAAGTAATGAAAAAATAAAATCAATAAATATAAAACACTTTATCGTGTACACTACCTATTATCATAGTAATTAATAATAATCTATGCGAGTATACAAAAAAACATAATATATATTATAGGGGGTCGCTAAAAAATTGAAATTCAAAAAGAGGGTCGCCACAGTAAAAAAATTGAGAAACGCTGGTTTAGACACTCGCCGGTAAGAATACTGTCACAACAATTTGACGTCGTTATCAATCTCATTTTCATATTACAATACTACTGTAACTGACTTTTTTTTATCACATATTTTGAATTATTCTTAATTGCCATAATTTTCATCAGTATTTCTCCTGATTTGAACAAGTTATTGTGTGTGCCTCCTATATATATATATATATAGTTTCGATTAAAATTAAATTGAAAATAATTCTTATTTTAACGGTGCCTTGTTGCAATAATTATACGATGAAAAAAAAAATATTTTATTTACAAGACACCATATACAGCCCTTTGTCTATATATGTTAAAAACGGAGTCTGTAAATTGCGTCTCCTAAAAAAGATCATAGTCATATACTATGTAAATTGCAGCCGATGTACTTTTAAAATAGACGTAAATTGCGGTCTGTGTATTTTTATGACATGCGTAAACTGTGGCCAGGAATATTCCGATTTCCGATCGGCTGTAATAACTAATAATCTACGATAAAAATATCAGCTTGAGAAGTCAGGGAACAAAAAGCAAAAAAATGACTAAAAAAAAAACATTTATATATGAAAAAAAAATTACTCGGTTACACTATATGTGTAATTATATATTTTTTAATGATGCAGATTTTTACCTAATACTTTATTAGTAATTTTTAATAATACATTTTTTAATTATAAACAACAAACAGCAATACCAATATTTTTAACCATACCAATACTAAAACAATAATAATGCCAGTCCTAAGTCTGAAAAATGTGAGTGAAAATATTGATTTTAATAAATAAATTGATTTTATACAAATTATACCTAGGCCGCAGTTTACGTATGTATAAAATATATTCGGGCCGCAATTTATACAAAATATTAAAAATGGGATGCAATGTACAGCGATTCCTTAAAAATGATTGTAATAAAAAATATTATAATGCACTTTGAAATGATTATAAGGGTGTAAATTAAAATTGTTCAATGTTATTCTACACACACTATATTTTTTATAATTTAGTAATAAGTGCAAAGAAAAAATGAAAAATTGGTTAAAAATGTTTTTAAAATGTTCTTATTAATTTATTGTATATATGTCCATTGTGCATACCTACTATTATAAATTATGAGTTTTTATCTTATTTAAAACTTACCTATATACTTATGTAATGACGTAAAAATTAAGAGAAAATATAAAATTAAGGTAGAAATAAATTTCAAAAGATCGTTATTACCTTTCTCCTAATCTTCGGAGGGTTCTCGAGGTCATGTCTCGTAAAAGTAATCAAAAGTAATCAAGTACACCTTTACGTAAATTTAATATTAAAAAAAAAGCCATAGTAGTAATAAGTAGTATTTTAGTCATGTTACCTTACCAGATTCATCGCAGTGAATGTATGTTATGTGTTCTTTGGAAAAATATAAGGTAACACTAATCAAGGAACAATTTAAGGAAAACTTAAATTTAAATAAGAAAAAAACAACACTGGTTTAGATTATGAAAAAGGAAAAAGTCCAGTTTTCGCTGGCAGAATCTTGTGTGGTCGTGTGGAGAGCTCTTGCTCGTGAGGTAGGTGCGCTTGCATTGGATAGCTTGGCTGGTGCTCATGCACTGAGAGGAGACGACCTAGTCAAGCCGGCCAGAGCCGCAGGTGACTCTATTAAAGGTCTCCGCGTTTTCTAAAGAAATTGACTTTCTCCTAGGCGACAGAGACCCTCATTGGACCATCCTTTGTCTTTGGCGGCACACGAAATAGATCATACGTATTGCGTCACATTGTCACGACTGCGTGTGAGTTCCTATGTGACTAAATAATGTAAACGTTCCTTTCATCAGTGATTAATTGTGTTTATAAGGTTTTTAACGATTATCTGCGTGCGACAACTTGACCGTTATTTATTTTATTGAATAGTTAAGCATAAACAATATTACAATCATGATATGTCACCATATCATTACACTTAATAATAGTGGTGAATCTGGTATATTATTTTTTTTCGGCGAGACAAAATAATTCGCAAAGTTTATTTTACGTATGTTCCTGAGAAGTCCATAGTCCAAAGCAGTACTTATAGGTAGTAATATGTTCAAGTTAAATATTATGCTCTATTCTTCACTTCAATTACCTTAACCTATACATGGAAATATGGTGATTATTGCTTACACAATTCGTTTTGAAAGTACTACAATAGTAAAGTTAATAGATAGGTAGTAAGCACTATATTATACTATTATAGGTACCTATGTCAGCCATATCAGCATTAGAATAACGATACAGAAATTAAATTACTAATTTTTTATAAATAACAACCTGGAATACTTAAATCCGAAAGTTTTTGTTGTTCAATTGTAAAATTTTTACGATAAATGCAAATTCAGAAACTCTATGGCAATTGGCAATATGAAAATTTAACAAGCATTCACAACTACATATATATTCGCTGTCCATAACATTGAGTAAAAAAAAAGAAAAGATAAAATTCACAATACCACTATGGGTTTTGGTTGCAAGACAAAATGCCCGTTTTTATTCTATACTGGTTCTATCACTTGTTAGTAAAGTGTTTCTTTTGGCTAGTTTTTAAATAAAACCTACTGAATATTAATTATAATTAATATAGACAGTCTGTATTTCTTTGCATTTTCTAATAAAAGTAATTGATAAGACAAATATTATTATATAGGTATTAAAAATCCTCTTTTATTTTTCAGAAGGCGCAATTAACCAAATGACCTACGAATATTTAAATGGAATTATAAGTTCAGACAGTAAGTAGAACCTATGTTAATTAATTGTAAAGTTAGAAATCCTTATTCAGGATGTTGTGAAAACATTTTAACGTAATAATTTATATTATGATAATTGATAACAGGAGATTTATACATTCACATTAAGAAGTGATTTTTTGGAGGTAGGGGGGATTATTAAGCTTTAAAAAATGGTATATTTATACACTATATCATTGAAGTATAATTTTTAAAACATAATTCAATTACCTTGATGTAAATGAAAATCATCATTTATTTTATCGTAAGATACTATGGCATTATTTAATGAACCGTCTAAAAAGAAACCACATTCAGTTAAATTCTACTGAAAAAATATTTGATAAAAAATAAATATTGGACACTTGAAGAATCTTTATCCATACTAGGCTGGTTTTAGTTTTATAATGGAAAAATGACTAAATACTTACGAGGAGTAGTAGTATAATAATAATATTAGTATAATAGGCGGTGATTAGGAAAACTCTACTCCCAAACATATTCAAACTCTAAAAAAATATTATAATAATTATTTATTTATTTATTTATTTTTTTTTTTTTGATATTATGAAGTAGATCATTTTATTGGGAAGATATTATTCATCCTCCCCTCTTAAAATGTATTTTAACCCTTAACTGGTATCGTCGGGTCAAAAAAGACTCATGACATTTTGTTTTTAACTTTCTACAATAAATCGCTCTTTTTTCACTGTAGAATGCATTGTATTTTATCACCTAACCTAACGATAATAATATTGTGTTATGTCATAATATTTTAATTATTATTCGCGTTTATTACCGAGTGCAGTGCAGTAATCACGTAATCACGTAGTTTCAAGTTGTTTTTTTTTAAATGAGTAGTGAAACTATTATTAATTGGTTAGACGAAGTAGATGATGAAATTAGTGATGCAGAGAGTTTGTATCGGATCATGAAAGTGAGTCCGAGCAAGAAATATCTGAAGTTTCCGAAGATGAAACCGATAGCTTAGAATATAGTTCTAATGAAACTGTTGAACAAAATGTACGTTCTCAAAATTTTATTTATGGAAAAAACAGGTACAAATGGTCTTTACAGCTTTTTCCACAGACGTACTCGATCTGATAATATAATATCACATCTTTCTGGTGTAGTTGGCTCTGCAAAAATAATTACTAGTAGTAATCCAATTGATTTTTGGAATATTTTATTTGATAATACGATGATTGAAAAAAATACTGATTACACAAATGTAAAAATAACTGAACTATCGATTTCATAATATATGGTAACACAAGTACATTTACTGGGCACACAGACATTATTGAAATTAAAGCATTTATTGGTTTATTGTATTTATGTGGTATCTTCAAATCGGGCATGGAAGATGTAGAAGGACGTTTTGCTACTGATGGTACTGGTAGAGATATATTTCGCGCGACAATGAGTTTGAAACGGTTTTTATTTTTGCTTTCAACTATTCGTTTTGACAATATATTATATGATAAAGATGATAGAAAAGAATCGGGTGATCGTGTAGCTCCAATATCAGAGTTGTTTCAAATGTTTTTGGTAAATAGTCAATCAAATTATTCAATGTCTGAATATTCTACAGTTGATAAAATGCTGGTTCCTTTTAGAGGGCGTTGCTCTTTTCGCATGTATATGAAAAGCAAACCAAATAAATACGGACTCAAAATAATGTGTTTATGTGACGCAAAAAACCACTATTTGTATAATGCATTTATTTATTGTGGAAAAAATAATGTTCCAAATCCTAAAAAGTTTGCAATACCTACTTTAAATGTGTTAGAACTTGTAACACCTATTTTTAATTCAAATAGAAATATAACTGGGGAAAACTGGTTTTCTTCCATAGAACTAATAACTGAATTAAAACGACATGGCCTAACATACGTGGGGACATTACGTAAAAATAAAAAAGATATATCATCACAAATTGTTCCTAACAAACAAATTGAAGTAAATACAACAAAGTTTGCATTTACCAAAGACATAACATTATTATCGTTTGTTCCAAAAAAGAATAGATACGTGTTGCTTTTATCTTCTATGCACCATATAAATACAATAAATCCGGAGAATTCAAAACCAGAAATAATTGAATTTTATAACCAAACGAAAGTAGAAGTTGACGCTTTGGACCAAAAGTGTGCAGTCTATTCAACACATCGACGTCTACGAAGATGGCCAATCGCTATATTTTATGTTATGTTAGATATTGCTTCTGTAAATGCACGTGTTTTATATAGTTGTAAAAATATAAATTCACCAATACCACGTCAAAAGTTTGGAATAATACTAGGAAAAGAGCTTATTATTCCTCATATGAAACGACGACTATTACAAGAAAGACTACCTAGAGAAATACCACAAATTATTAAAAAAATACTAGGAGATAATATTGACGAAGCAACTCAAGACATTTCTTCTAACCCAAACAAACGACGAAGGTGTTACGTGTGTCCAAGTTCTAAAGATACGAAATATTCAAATATTTGTTCTGTATGCAAAAAAACGATTTGTAAAACACACGAAGTTCAAGTATCAAAATGTGTTAATTGTATGGATACAGAGTAACTAAGCATTTTTATTTATTTTTATTTTATAATGTAAGGAACTTTCCACCAATATCTTTATTTTTTTTATTTGAATTTCATTAATTAATTAAATTAAGTGTTTAATAATTGAGTAACATTTAAAATATATTTCATACAAAAAAGTCAAGTCTTAAATAATAAACTAATACCTAAGCTTTTAAATTTGTTTGTAGTTGATTAGATAAAAAAACGTCCAGAGAGGTACAATAAGTGTTTGTAATTTTTTAGAAATAAATGTTTTAAGTTCTAAATTTTATTTTATTTTGTTTTTATTGTATCTAAACTTAACTAAAAACCAGTGGGTAATTCAAATTTGAATGTAAATATATTTTTTTTAAATAATTTATTCACACATTTATAAATAATCATGTAAATTTGCAAGATTAAAATAAATTTGTATAAAACACTTATATTTGAAAAAAAAAATATGTGTTATTAGTTAAAAATATTCATTTCATTTCATAGAATATAATGGAAAAAAAAAATTGAATAACTTATAAGTAGTTCAAATTTTGGGTCATTTTTGACCCGACAATACCAGTTACGTGAACACAAATAAGGATACCAGTTAAGGGTTAATATCTGCCTATAAGTGGTGCTTCACGGAACGGAAAAATAAATACTTAAGTAAAATTAATAAAAAAAAACATTCGTCATTCTTTTTTTGAGTTTGTTTGATGGTGAAAAATAAAGACGATGACAAAATATATAGTTTACTACATTAAGTCCAAAGTTTCTTATTAATACAAGTCATGGCCGATTTCATAGTAATCTCAATAATCACGTTATGTGGTCATAATAAAAAATGTTCACGAGATTATCGATGGAAATGGACTCGTAGAATTCAAATCTATGCTTGTAACAAAATAAATGTTTCAGGTTTGAACATTTCTGTTGGTACTCTTGTATATTAATACAATAATGTCAATAACTAGGCAATAGGCGCACTAATTTACTTTTCAAATTAATTTACTTTACCAATTATTACTAACCCAATACCAGTATCTACATCATGTTCAGAGCCGTGCCGTTAAGATTTGGCGCCCAGGGCAAAATTAAAAATATTCGCCCCCTATTTTAGTTATCATTAAAGACCGGATTTAATTGATATTGCAACTTTTTTTGTAGTTAAGATAAATCAAATCTGATCAAATATGTACACGATTTGTATTAATTATTGTCTTTCTGTTTAATTTTATGTTGCAATTTATTGCAATTTTTAATGTTTTTGCAATTTTTTTCAATTTTGTATATTTCACGTAATCAAATGTACAAATCAATATTTCTTAACTAATTTTATAATATAAAAATAATAACATTATTGTGGATTTTTATTATTGGTTTGATTAATATGATCTTAGAAGTATAAAGGAGTATTATCTATGTTATTTATCGCTCGTCTGGAATTTTCTATCTCAAATTACTGTGACTAGCGATAATAACGACTATGAAAGCTATAAGCGTCGTGTGCGTTTACCCGTTGATACGTACTAGTACCTATTTCTTTGATCAGTTTGACCGCACAAACCGACCGTGAACGTATTCGTCGAAATGCTTGAAATAAAATCAAGTTTAAAAAGTAAAATATCGAATTGGATTGCTCCTTATAATTAAAATAAAGAAGTATTTTCATCAGATGGAAAGATTATATATTGTCTCGTATGTGAAAAGTCTGTGTCTACTGAAAAAAAATATCTATTAGATCATCATTCCAAAACAAGTAAGTTTTGTACATAACTCCATGTTATTTTATATCAAAAATACATGTATATTTATTTTAGTTCAACACATAAATGCATTACAAAGGAATAAAGAAAGAAAACAGCAGATTTTCATTACTTCTCAAATCTCGAATAGTAGAAATGTATTTTTTGAAGATTTATGTAATGCATTTGTTGCTGCAAATATTCGTTTGCATAATGTAACGGTACATACTACGGCACCATGTAAAAGGACTCGTAACAGAGCCAACAAATACCACCCACCAATCACAGGACAGTATACAAAAGAAAACCGCAACCATCGGACAGGGGAAGTGTTTCCAAGCACTTCCCCACACAAGAGGGTCTGCAAAGGCACATCAATGGATAGGGGAAGGTAAGACGAAGACGTCAACACCTTCCCCATGATTATACGACAAAAGGCAACTAAGTTATGGCCAAAACAGTGTCAAGAGAAGACACAACGGAAATGACAAAATTGTTAATGTTTACTAGTCGGTACGGACAGGAGTACTTAGGCTAGTAACATTTCAATCAAAAACAACAATTCTTCCAACCACCTTCGACATTCTCTATCAAATAGTATCGAAGACCGAAGACACGAAGACCTGCCGACCAAGACGACCTTCTACGACGATCCACTGCCGCGAACCGGAACCAACCGTCACGATCCCGTGTGCAACTCTGTTGAGCATCGCCACTATAGATCGTGCGGTTCAGACGACGCCGCAAGAACAAACGACGACGCGGACAACGACGGCTTCACCCGGCAACCAATCGCCGTAAGCCCAAGAACGCCGACCGTCACGATCCCGTGTGCAACTCTATTGAGCATCGCCACAACCGATCGTGCGGTCCGACGACGACACCGACGCAGACCACTACCCACGGCACCCAGTTGCCGCGACCCAGACGTGGCGCCCGCTGAGCTTGGTCTTCAGCCAACCACACGACTCCGGCGACCTCACCGAATTGGAGTACTGTCTACGGTGCTAAACGGGTACGTGACTGTGTATTACTGGTTGCCTATCAACCCCTTTCCCACGGTGTTGTCTTGGCGGTAACCTCTCGTTATATCCGACGTCGAAGACTGGTCTAATCCGGAGCTTCGACGCGGATACTCGACGCGCCGCTGAGACACTCCCGTAAGGTGGATGGGCCCAGTGATACGAAGACGACGGAGGAACAACCAATCACAGGGGTTGGCCTCACGGAGAACTTGACCAGATCGGGACCAGGTATAGAGCCGTCCAAATCAGGGTCAGCTCGATAAAAAACAAAGTCCCCCCCTAAGCGCGCCTGTCTAGGCCTCGCACTACCCGGACGGTGATCGTGTGTTGACGCCACTTTCTTAAGCGGGCCATAACCGATCATCCGTTCCTCCCCCACCAATTGTATACTGACCGAATTCCCTGAATATTGTTTAACTTACCAAGGACCTTGCTCCAACGCCCCAAATATTTGTAATAATTATTTTAAATATATGGAAATAAAACGTATTGTTATATTTACACAAACCAAACGACTTTGTGTTCTTATGGTGCGGTGACTTGATAATACAAGTCACGTTTCAATAAGCTGGGCAATCATGTGTTAAAATCATTTTTGGAAAAGCATACTGGCAAATCAATTCCAGATGAAAGTACTTTAAGAAAAAATTACATACCAAATATTTATAAAAGCGTAATGGACCAAATAATTAGCGATATTGGAAATAATTACGTTTACATAATTGTTGACAAGACAACCGATCCAAGAGGTTTGTATAAATATTTTTTTTTTTTAATTTCTCATATAATAAAACATACTATTTTCGTTTAGGTTTGTCTATTGCAAATTTATTAATTGGTAAATTAGATGGGACGCCTAGTAAATCATATTTAGTTACATGTAAAGAATTAGAATCCACAAATTATGAAACTATTTGTCAGTTTATTAATTCCTCGTTAAAAATATTTCCTGGTATTGAACAAAAAGTATTACTTTTGATTAGCGATGCTGGTACTTATATGATCAAAGCAGCAAAAACATTAAAAATATTTTTTCCAAAATTAATTCATATCACATGTATGGCACACGCAGTTAATAGAGTTCTAGAGAAAATTCGAGAATTGTATCCTGATATAAATAAATTAATTAACAATGGTAATGTGTTAAGTACTTATTTAAAATTTAAATACATTTTTAACTTATGTTGTTTATTTTAGGAAAAAAAGCTTTCCTAAAAGCACCATCGAGAATAAATAAATACAGAAAAGAAATGCCGGGTATACCTTTACCACCAGAACCTATTATTACAAGATGGGGAACATGGTTAAACGCTGCACTTTTCTATGCAAATAATTTTGAAAAGTTTAAAAACGTGATTGAAAGTTTAACAGATGATGCTTTAAGTGTCGAAAAGCTGAAACTGCTTGTACAAGATAATGCAGTCAAATGCGGTTTAGCATTCATAAAATTACACTTATCTGAGTTATGCACGAATCTCAAAAATTTGGAAGAATCTAATAGTGAACTACTGAAAAGTATAGATATTTTTAGAAAAATTGAAGATATTTTAACAAATATTCCTGGTCCAGAAGGGGAAAAAATTAAGGAAAAATGTATTTATGTAATTGAAAAAAATGAAGGGTATAAAACTTTAAAATGTTACTATGAAGTCATGTCAGGTAAAGCAAATGTTAATTTAGATATAACGCCTACTTTATTAAATTGTTTTAAATATGCACCAATAACGAGTGTTGACGTAGAACGTAGTTTCTCGTTGTACAAACATATTTTAAGTAATAGAAGATTTAATTTTAATGAAAATAATTTAGAAATGTATTTAATCATTAATTTTAATTCAAAAATGTAAAATTAATATTAAATGTAATTAATGTAATATTAATTAATGGATATATAAATACGACTTGCATTTTTATAGTGCAATTTATTTTGCAATTTTTATGGGATTTTTGGTGCAATTATACAGTTTTATTATGCAATTTTTGAGTGTTTTTAATGCAATTAAATCCGGTCTTTAGTTATCATTATGCATTTTATTCCTATTTAATTCCTATTTTATTGAATTTTTTTTTTACAACGTATTTTGAACATTAATTTGATAAAAAACTGAAGTTGATCGCAATAGTAATTATTAAACAAAATAATTAGGTATAAAATAATTAAAAATTAATACAAATCACAAATTATACTATATTATACATGTTATATTTACAAACGTATATGATACGTATCACATAGGTTCTTAATTTAA